TTGGCTGGCGGGGGGGCTTCTGAGGGGCTTCCCCCGCGGCGATGGCTGTTCCCGGCGGGGCCTGCAAGGCGCCATAGCCCGTGCCTCCGCCGGGAACCCCCGCCAGCCTCCCGGCGCACTCGGGGCCGCCAGCGGCCCAGCTGAACCCCGGCTCGAAGCATCTGCCCGCTGCCCGCGGTGAGCCCGGCCTTTCCGCAGGGGCGCCATGAGCGCGACGGACCGCTCTGCCGGGACCCCCCCTCGCTCCAGAAGGTAGTGTAGGTGTTGCCTCTCTAGTCACCCTGCGCCGAAACTGCTCTGCGGGCTCTGGCCCCAAAACTTTGCCCGTTCTGTCCGGTAGCCAGACGTTAAGGCACCGCTTTGTCCACTCTTGTGCGTGCTGTGCTTCCTTATCTTTATGCCTGTCTATTTCTGCTGTTCTTTAGTTCAGTAATAAAATATTTACTTTGTGTCTATATTACCTGTCTTCTTCTGTTGCTGTTATTTATTTTTTCTAAATGTGTTGTTTAAGGCATTTCTGGTGGGAAAGTTCCTACATGAAATAAACATATTATTGCATATTTAATACTTTCCTCTACTGCCAGGAGTTAGAGCTTGGCACATTTTCATGGATATAGCACACTGGGACTCTAATCTAAGCAGCTTTGGTGAGCAGTCCATAACAGTTACCACTGCCTCAGTGTCACCTACCAGATCACTTTATGATCAAAGTTCTGGCACTGGCTCCAGAATTGGATTCTGGACTATTTTTGCTAAGCAGATCTTTAGCAGAGAGGCTTCTTAGATTTAATTCTGTTACTCATAGCATCATTTTAAAAAAAAGTTGTTTGTCAGATCAACATAAATAACAAAAAGAATACTTTCCAAGTGAATTTTGAACTCTTGTGTGCATCTCTATTTGCAAATTTGGTGCTGGTTTGAGCAGATTAAATGTTTGAATGCAGTAAACATTACATATCTGATTTTTATTTTAAGCAATTACACATACATATTCTTGATTTGATTTATGTAATATTGGTAGGCATTCCATCTAGTACCTCAACATAAGATTTGAGAACTTGGAGGTTTCTATTTCACTATCGAGGGTGGACAAGCTATGTGGTTAAGAATGTCAAGTACACAAGAAAGGAAAGCATGTATATTCCTAGACCTACGCTTTAAATTGCGGTAGCTGGTGCATCAGCTCACCTGAATTATTGGCTTTATTCAACAGTCTTTCTTTAGAAAGTGTTTTTCTTTCTGGGTATCAGATAGTGATTCTGTCACAGGTTATGTCTTCCTGTTTATCTTGCAGTGGCTGTTGCTTCTAATTGCACAACAATGGACTTTTTGTCCTCTTTGGTGTCTCCTCCTTTTCTTTCCTCCTCTTCCTTTCAGGTTCACTCTCCCCAAATAACCTATGAGACTTTTGTTCCATGACATTTTTCTTTCTCCCTTCTCCATCAGTTGACCCCATCACCGCAGTATAGTAAGCCTGCAAGCTGTTTTACATCAAAGCTTTTGATTGTCCTAAATGCTGTGGTCTCCTGTTAATACCTGGAGCACAGACAAGCTAATCTACATTTAAAATTGAATCTGTGTTAAAACTGAAAATCTATTTTAAACTGTTTTAGAACTGTTTTTTTATTTTATTGTCCAAAGCTTACATGTCATTAGAAAATGTTTCTGTCCAGGCTGGCAACCCCCCATGTCTCTTCCAGATACACTAGTTCTCAGTCTCCAAGTCAGGAGGACTTTACTCCTCTCCCTTCAATCAATGAGCGTTTGGCCTTGCTTCGTCCTTCTCGGGAGCTGCTGGAGTACTACCGCAAGAAGATTGCTGACTTTGATGAGGAACATGAGGATTTGGTAAAAAGGCTGGAGAGATACAAAGAAACGTATGATGAGCAGGTTAGGAGAAGAGTTTTTTGAATTATGATCCTTGCGCAAACTTAATATTTTTCTTCAGCTGAAAATTTAGCACAGATGGTCTTAAGATTTGCCAGTAATGTGGTAGAACTCAGCCTAAGAAGAAATAAGTAGATACCAGGGTTTTATTGTAAAACCTAGCTGTCCGTCCTCTGCCAAATCAAAGGGAAACGTGCCTGTAGGATATTCTTCTATTCTTATCATAGTTTGGTTATGTCTTCACAGTGGGTTGTTTGTTTCTGTTTTTTCTTCAATTAAAGCCTGAGTTTAGATGTTGTGTTCCAATGTTGTCCAACTTCTTTCCCTTGTTTGTTACAGTGAAGAATGAGTGCTCTTTTGTCCAAATTTAATGAGCTTTGAGATACAGATATAATTCGTATTTACTGCAGTGGAATTCGTAAGCTTGGCCATAGGCTATTAAGCAGTAGTACTACACAGCAAATAAATGTGAATTTAAAAGAAACTCCAAAATGTAAAAATCTTTGCCTTTTTAACAGGAAGAAGTCTTACAGAATGTCTGTAACTTCAGTGCTCTGCTATGCCTTACAGCATACATCTGTCTCGCAGTCATCTTTGTAATTGTGAATGACCCTTTGGGAATAGAATGATCACTTCTGAAGTAGTTGAGGTACCTCCTCAAGTACTGGCCATGCTTGAAGCAGCCTGAAAGCTCACGGGAAATATGGGGCATACAAGTTACTTTCATTCAACATATGGGTAAAAAGAGGGGCAGGTTCCAAAATACTGCCTTCTCTCCTATGGGAATGGTTTTCTGAAAAGTTTGTTAGTTTTCCACGCCAGGGAGAAAATCATTATTGAAACTTAGTAACTAGCCAGATTTCTCACTACTAAATCATACAGATATTTTAATGGTTATTCTTCAGCAATTTCTTTTAAGAGCCAGTGCTATTACAGAGACTTTGCTAGGTTTTTGTTGATATCAGAGTCCCCAGACCTGTGCCACTGTGAGTGCAGAAGTGCAACCACTGGAAACTGAAGACCCTAGCTTAGGTTTTATTTCACTGCTGTATAGTGATAATAATTCTCAGGGCTCAGAACTCCCTGTTGAAACACTTCTTAATTTTTCCAATACTGCCCTCATCTGGTCAAATTTTGTAAGAGAATAAAATAATTCACTTGAACTGCCAGTCGTTCTATACCAGCTAGTTACAGGCTCAGGGTACAAGCAGCTTGAAGTTTGTAATTGTTGCTTGATGCTCTGTATCATTTCAAGTACCTCATTCTCTTCACCTAGCACAAATTGCAGTGCGAAGTGCGTCAGCGGGAAGAGGAGATTGCGGAGTTGCAAAAGGCTTTGAGTGATATGCAAGTCTACCTCTTCCAGGAGAGGGAACATGTCCTTCGTCTCTACTCAGAGAATGACCGGCTGAAAATCAGGTGTGCTGTCTTATATGGTGGGCTGGGTCACTGGCAATGGCAGTTGGATGCACTATGTTCTAGTTTTGATCCAGATCTGGAGTCTTCAGAGATGCAATTATGCCACACTTCCTGGAGGGGGAGGCTCCTATGAAATTGTACCAGTCTTGGAGGTGGAATGCAATCTGTTGGGCTGCTAAATATTGTTCTGCTTATTATTCCTCCTTTTCCAGTAGTAGAAGGAAGAGCAGAAGTTGAACATAGATTCATTTTTCAATTGTGAGTTGCCAGTTTGAATGTGGAAGTTCTGATTTGAGCAGGCTGGTGGGTTGATCTTGGCTGGATGCCAAGTGGCCACCAAGGTGCTCTATCTCTCTCCCTCCTCAGTTGGACAGGGGGAGAGAAAAATATGATGAAAGGTTCATGGGTCGAGATAAGGACAGGGATACCACTCACCAATTACCGTCACAGGCAAAACAGACTTGACTCGGGGCAATTAATTTATTACCAATCTAATCAGAGTAGGATAATGAGAAACTAAAATCCTAAACCACCTTCCCCCCATTCCTCCCTTATTCCTGGACTCAATTTCACTCCCAATTTCTCTACCTCCTTCCCCTGAGTGGTGCAGGGGGATAGGGAACGGGGTTTGCGGTCAGTTCATCACACGTTGTCTGTGCTGCTCCTTCCTCCTTGCTCTCTTCCCCTGCTCCAATGTCGGGTTCCTCCCACGGGAGACAGTCCTCCATGAACTTGTCCGACATGAGTCATTCCCATAGGCTGCAATTCTTCATGAACTGCTCCAGCCTGGGTCCTTTCCACAGGGTGCAGTCCTTCAGGAGCAGACTGCTCCAGCGAGGGTCCTTCCCAGGGTCACAAGTCCTGCCAGCAAACCTGCTCCAGCTTGGGCTCCTCTCTCTCCATGAGTCCACAGGTCCTCCCAGGAGCCTGCTCAAGCGTGGGATCTCCATGGGGTCACAGCCTCCTTTGGGTGCATCCAGTTGGTCTGGTGTGGGGTCTTCCACCAGCTGCAGGTGGATATCTGCTCCAACATGTCCCTCCATGGGCTGCAGGAGGACAGCCTGCCTCACCATGGTCTTCACCATGGGCTGCAGGGGAATATCTACTCTGGCGCCTGATGCACCTCCTCTTCCTTCTTCACTGACCTTGGTGTCTGTAGGGCTGTTTCTCTCACATGTTCTCACTCTTCTCTCTTCCAGTTGCTGCTGTGCATCAGTTTTTTCCCTTTCTTAAATGTGTTACAGAGGTGCTACCACCATCGCTGATTGGCTTGGACTTGGCCAGCAGTGGGTCCATCTTAGAGCTGGCTGGCATTGGCTCTGTCAGGCATGGAGAAAGCTTCTGGCATTTTCTCACAGAAGCCAACCCCTGTAGGCCCCCAGTACCAAAACCTTGCCATGGAAAACCAATGTACAGACCTTGCACCTGCCTGGCAAAACTTCCTCTATCAACCCTAAAACCACTTAAGCTTAAATAGAAAATACAGACCAAAGCAAATAATTTTCCATCACTCTATGAGATCATGTTGACAGCTACTTTCTTTCAATGCCATTTAGTTGGTGAACTGGAATATAACCTGCTGTACCAGACTAGTTGCCAGTGGTAAAGGAGTTCCCAGCCTTCTTCAGAACATTTGTGGGTGATAATATCAAGTTTTCAGTTAAAGTTTTAACAACTTAAGTCAAAATATGTGTTGGTGTGCTTTTGTACTTCTCAAGAGTGTGTCAAGAAGTCTAATACAGTCCTTAATCTGGTTTGCTTCAAGAAAAATGGGCACTTAATATCTGTTGAATGAAGTATCTGAAAGGATTTTAGGTAGTTCATAATTCTGGAATGCAAATTCTTTACCACTGTGTGCTATTGCTGTATCAGCCTGTGTAGTATTGTCATATTTGAAAAGAAGAATGCTTCCCAATGCTGGTAGAATTGGTGGTGTTCTTATTATATCAGCAATGTCAGTAATGTCTTTGGGAGTTTCTTTTAAAAGTGGTATTCTCAAGAACTGCAACAGTTTGGAAAACTTGTAAACATTAACGTGTAAACTAGAAAAACAGTGTGTCACGGTGTCTTGATTTACTGAAAAATAGCAATGTGCTGACCACTTTCTTTGAATTCCAGGGAATTGGAGGATAGAAAAAAAATTCAACATCTCCTGGCTTTAGCAGGAACAGACAAAGGAGAAGTTACATATTTTCACAAGGAGCCTCCACATAAGGCAAGTTCCATTTTTCTGTAGCTTTTGATTGTAACATGAAGATCTGTACCCCAGAGGCTGACCACAGACCAGATCTGTCCCACAAGTCAAAAGTTGCTAAATGAGCCCAAAGCAGGAAGGATCTCTAGCAACACTGGGCTTTAGTATAGCTGATGAGTAGGAACAAGCATGCCGGAAGTAGGTCCTCTTAGCATCAGTCTCCTGCTACCTTCAAAACATAGCTCCAGATCAGCCTTCTAAATGTCAGATAGGAGTCTGAAGCCATCTGGCAAATGGTCATTGAGAAGTTGGAGAGAACACCACAAAGAGAAAAAGAAAAAAAGTGCAGAAAATAACCAGGTGTGGTGTTTGAAGATCAGCTATCTCAAAGTGCCTGTCTCATAGGGCCTCTAAAGAGCAAAGCAGTGTTGAGGTTGCTGCAGCAGTTTTCCTGGGCAGGGAACTGCAGAAGAGCCATCCCCTCGAGGCAGTATTGTATCACATATTTCAGAAATAATGTCAAATGGATTAAATAGCGGTATATATGAAGTGCAGTGCAGTTGAATCTACTTAAGAAAATCATGAATGATTTGGACATGCAGAGACTATGATGGAATATAGGTTTTATCTTAGAAATAAGGTGCAGAAAAAGGCTGCAATATCCTACATTGTTTGTGGTTGCTATGTGCTGCTCAAGCAGTTAAAAAGGCTCGCAGAAGCTTTAAAATTCCCTGATACAGGGTAGCTTTAAAATTAGATCTATCATATAGCATCGACTTCAAGATAAGTATTGGGGTTATAACCCGCTCCCTCATGGCCTCTTGTTTTTAGGTGGGTTTCAGTTCAACAGTTGAGTTGTTTCAATAGTTTTATCGGTTAGCTTTTATCCCAGGCTTGTTCATAGCTTCAGTGAATGTGCTGATAAATCAAGCTTCATGTTTCTCTGTCTTGCTAAGGCAAGGAGGAGTATGTAAGAAGGAAATAACATAATCTTCATCTTCACCTTCCCTCTTCTCCTCTCTGTCCCCAAAATGCTCCTTTGCTGATTTTCATCCTAATGAAGCCAGCAAACGCAGAATTACTTTCCAGTTGTTTTGGTGGGAAAAAAAAAAAGAGGCAGAAATGGTAAAACTCAGCCATGATAAAGGAAACTTTTCAACACAGACATTACACTTGTGAATGTCTTCCTTCTCTTGTGGTAGAAGTAAGGTAATGCCGTTCTTTTGGATATCTCATTTTACTCTTTAAGATTTGTTCTTGACCATTGCAACTTTGGTGAAGTCAGATGTTCAGCTGAGATATTTAATCTTGTTTCTATAGGTTACTGTTCTGCAAAGGCCAGCTAAATCCAGAGATCCGCATGAGCGAAATGATACTTCTAGAACAGGTACTACACCGAGCTGATCTAACAGCAGCTCAGCTATTGATACGTGTTTCTCTGTGTGTTTGTGTCCAGTATACCAAAATAATTTCTTACTGTGAATACTTTGGTATGTCTCTGAGTTCCTTAAACGTATCCATGGGTGTATACATATACATGCAGTACTCTTGGCGTCCCTTCAAAATAACTTGAGCTGGTTCTCATGTCCGTCATCTGCCCACTTAAGGAAGAGGCTGGTATGACTGTGGAATGGCTGTTCTGGGACTATACAGCTACCACCAATTGGACAGGCACCCTTAGCCACAGCCGTTCCAAGGTGTGTGTTCTGCCTGCCTTTAGTGTACACAGCAGTGCGAATCTGTATGCCTGCTTACTGACTTTCTCTTTTGAAAGAACTGCCTTTTCCAAATTGACTGGAATTAGCTAGCAGGCTCAAAACTCATTCAAGGTTTGATGTTTGCGCACCTGTGTCATCTGCCTATTCATCATTTATTTAAGAAAATTTAAGATTGCTTTCTATACATGCCAAAAAGATTAGTAGGTTGACTAAATATTGTGGTGTGATAGTGTGGGATAAAGTTATGCAATCACCATAAGTTCTGAAACTCTTTTTATCCAGCTAGTCCTTCTGGAAGTCCTTGTGACTGTAGCACTGGCAAGCTTTTTCCTGTTCCTGTAGGCTAGCCAGCACATAAAATATTTCATTCTTGGAAAGGTACTGCAGGTAGATTGGAAAACCCATTTCTAATTCTGTTAAATTTCTGCAATAGGCACGAAGGAGAGCACTTCAAAACCAGCAGCAAAAGGAGAGAAACCAGAAAGTTCTGAGAGGTATCAGAGAGACAATCAAACACTCCTACTTCAGGTAAAAACATTTGCTAACTGATGGACATAGTTCCTGGCTGTCCAGGAAATGATGATAGACAAATATGCTGTCTGCTTATATAAGATGTAGACATACCGATTTTATCAGTCCCCACATCTTACTATGGATTCCCACTTTCTATGAGTTTACTTAGCTGTTTCTTTGTGATGAATGTAGGCTTAGATTTAAGAACTTGGGTCTGATTCTGAAAGGTTTACATAAGCAGATCTTCCAGTAATGTCAGCTGGAATGTGTTACCCTTAACATCAATTAGACATTCTATATTTATCTCCCATAATTTGGTTGTGGCTATCAATTTACATTAAACCCATGGAAGATCTGCAGAGTTGGGTATTTTGTGGAAGTCTGACAAAAGCAATGTGTCTGAGACTGAATTAGGCAGCCCTGATAAGATGCACTAGTGCAATGAAATGTTCCCTTTGCTAGACTTCTGTGAAAGATAGGGTGTGGATAGCATGACAGAATGAAAGATAAAATGTACAGCATCATGAATTGGGGAAGATGCCAGAAGCTGTATGGAAAGCAAGAGGAAGGATGAGTCAAGAAAAGCAAATTAAAGAGCAAACTTGTACAGTGTACAGATTTTTATTTTTTAATTTTTTTTTTGTTCAAGGCCAGTGGTAACTGACCTAGTGGCCAGTTAGCTGTCTGAAAACATTTATTCTGCAGCAAAAGCATCATACAAAAAAATCGCCATAAAAATAAGCCTTCTAAATACGCACTAAGTTTTTTCAGATAGTTTCTTACACATAGGCCAGATGCGCATTTTTCAATAACTTGTTCCAATTTGTCTCCCTGACTATGTGCCCTAGATCAAGATTCTTTGCATCCCTCTCATTTGCTTGTTGTCTTGTTTACATTTAGTGATTCATTCTGGTTGAGTAATTTCTTTTGTTCAAGGTATGTGGACTTGCTGCTTTCCTAGTAATTAGGTATTTTTATATCACTATTTCACTGGAAGGTGGTAGCATAGGGGCAGAAGTGTATATGTATATTCCACAGGATTTGTCACATCCTATGTGCAATGTAAATCTTTCCAATATCTTCTATCGATTGTTGCTGTTTGTAATATGCCTGTCTTGCCTGTAGCATTTTTTTTCTTAAAATAGTCTATTTGTCTGAAATACTTAGCATTAAAACAAAAATAAAAATTTCAGAAATTAGAAGTCTCAGGTATCATCAAGTAGAACCTTTCATCTGAATCTTGGAATTTAAAAGAGACTTGCAAGGACAAGAGCAGAGCTGCTGTGAGGTCTTATTCAGTAATGTCTCTTTATGCCTATTCAGGTGGAGGCCCTGCAAGCTCAGATAGAAGAACAGACACGATTATCCAAGGAACAGTTTGAGGCACTACTAGAGGACCGGCGGATTCACATGGAGGAAGCTCAGGTCCAGCATCAGAGGGACCAGGACAAGATCAAAACTATAACAGATAAGTGAGTGTGAGAGAGTGACTGTGATGTAGTCATGAGAAGAGAAGGGAACAATAAAAATATTTTGGTTTTTAGTATGTTGCTTTCTGCAGCAGGCAGAAAAGCAAATTATGCAGCCATCTGTTTGGCAGTGTGTGTGGAAGTAGAATAATGGAGTAATCTACATATTAAAAATCCTATTTCGCATTGGAAGAATATCACTTCTTTCATTAGATGAGAAGAGCTAAACTCATTAGGAAAGCACCTATCTTTTTCTTCCATGTGTTGTGGTTTAGGCCAAATTGGCTACTGGGGACCTGGGGGACCCCAGATGGGACCGACAGATGCTTCCCTCTACCCCTCTTCAAAGAGAGAGGCAGAGGAGGGAAAAAGAGATGTATGAGTTTAGAAGGAACTAAACTACTTTAATGAAATATTCATAATAAGATAAAAAGAAATGATGAAATATATACAAAACCGTGTCAAGCTCCCGAGATGACAATCATGAAACCAGCTGGCACTGGGGCAGTCCCAGGCTGGACTCAGTGATGGATGGGAACTGGATTCTGGATCTGCATTCAGGATCAGGATCAAAGGCAGACAGACAGAGTCCTCCTTAGACGTCGGCCATTGCAGGAAGAGAGAGAGCTGACCCTTTGATCCCTCAGCTTTTATACTGAGCAGAGGGAGATGGGATAGGATACCCTGTTGGTCAGTTTTGGGTCACCTGTCCTGTCCGCTCCTCCCCGCAGGTGGGACCCCACTATGCTTTTCTGCTTCCGACCCTCCAACAGGGCAAATAACAAAGTTGGCTGCCTTGGGTATTACAGCAATAAGTATAAGCAAGGTCTGCATACCATGCCTGGGCATCAGCTATAAACAATTGGTCTTATCACTCTGAGAGAGTGAACATTGTCGGCACAATATGCTGTTAATTTCAGTAGTTAGAAGAGGCCCAGCTAAGAAGCGAAGTTACTGAACAAAATTGGTCCTGTTTTACCTCAAACCAGGACACATTGCTTCTTTCAACTTGCAATGATGACTGAGGAAATTAAGGGAGGAACTAGGAGGGAAGTTAATTAACTCTACTGGGATCCCTTTTTACAGACTCCATAAGACCCAAAATCTCTTATATGAGAGTACCCGTGACTTTCTCCAGCTCAAGTTTGATGCTCGAGCCAATGAGAAAGCATGGATGGCAGAGAAGGACAGTCTGTTGAGGAAACTTGACAAAGATCTGGATCAGCTTATCAGCAAGGAGCCAGGAAGAGAGAAGAAGCAGAGAGATACCAAGAAGATGCTTCGAGCAGATGATGGGGCTTCGAAACTCCACAGCAGAGAAATGAAGGTAATTTTTTGTCCTAGGTAGAGGCTCTTTAACAGTTTTTGATTAGAATAAGTCCTTTCAATTGATGTCCCCCAGCTCTTATACAGTAGTCAGGATTTTTATAGAATCATAGAATGGTTTAGGTTGGAAAGGACCTTGAAGATCATTGAGTTCCACCTCCCACTAGACCAGGTTGCCCAAGGCCATGTCTATCCTGGCCTTGAACACCTCCAGGGATGGCTCCTCAACAACCTCTTTGGGCACTTCTAGTGAGAAGTTGGGAGATCTGAAGTGGGTAAACAGACAATAAGGAACTGGAAAGTAAACAGGCAGTAGGGATTTTTTTTCAGCTACCTCTGAATGCAGATGTTTCTGAAATGCAGTACTGGGCAGGCAGCTGTGAAAAGGGAAATTGCAGCATTAATTGAATATTTTTTAAGGGGAAGAGGAGAGGGTTCTTTACCTGATGCTGAGCAGTTATGCAGAACTGATAACCTAATTAAAAGGCTTTGGTAATGGAAGTGGTGTTAGAATATTGTCCTTACCTACTTACTTCATCAGCTGTAGCTCCAGTTGTTAATTTTTATTTGCCTGTCATATTGTCAATCTATCGCTCTTGCTTTTGCACAGCAGGGGAAATTGTGACCACTGGCTTTTTGAGTTGATTCTTTCTGTTCCTCCTATGTCTTAGTCACTGCAAGAACAGCTAATGCAGGAACAGCGCCTATCAAACATGTATAGACAGCAGTGTGTCACCCTGGAAGATGAGCTGGCTAGGATTCGTGAGGAGGGAGATCTTGGCAGAGAACTCTTTAAGGTAATTAGCCTGTAATCATCTGCTAGCTATGTGATGATCTTGCGGCCTTTATTTTGTATACCCTATTGAGTTTTCATCTCCATAGAAACGCTCAGAAAAGATGGGGAAGCGCCTGAAGCTGATTACTCAGCGATATGAGGCCTTGGAAAAACGTCGTAATATGGAAGTGGAAGGCTTCAAGAATGACATTAAACAGCTTCGGCAGAAGCTGAAAGATGTAGAGAACCAGCTTTTTAAGGTAATAGCTAAGCATTTCTGAGACAGACTATTACAGTCTTACCCTATAGAGGTGTATTCTCAGTATTTAAATGCAAAATTTCCCTAGAGTTAAGGAAATAATTTCTTTCCTAAGTGCTCCTTTAGATATTAATATTTGACAAAACTTACCCTCATGTATTTTATGAAGCAAGAAATATTTGTCTTTGTTAATCAGTCAGGCACCAAGCTTGCCAGGAGCTGTCCTGATTATACAGTAGCTGTGTATTTTTGTTGCAACTCTGAAAAGTTCTTATTTGATCCCTGTAGCCCACTTAGCTGTTTTAAAATTGCAAGCCAGTAAAGTAGTTTTTATTTGCAGGATATACTTCTGAAACAATGATGATTAGTTTTCTTTCTGTGGGCCATAGAGTTTGGGTTTGTTCCAGTAAGAGGCAGATAATTGACTACTAGATATTGTGAATATTCTATTTATTCCCTTGTTAATATCTCATTTGTAACTGCAAAAATCACTGCAGAAACAATGGCTGGAAATTGAAGCTGTGTACTCTGTAGTACCTTCCAGATGTGTAGATGAACATCGGAACAGCTTAGAAGGGAAGCCACAGCCTTGAAAATTAATTGGAGTTTAGAATGAGGTATTTATCCAAGATATGCTTGAGAGGATGATCTAGGCATAGTGTTTGCCCAGCTGACTCTCAGGAGTCTGGCAGTGCCACCAACTCACTTGTTTTCTCTACTTTTGGTGCATAGTTCAGTTTAGAGTAGTGCATTTGTCTTCACTAAAGGCTTTGATTATTTATTTGGGGGGGGGGTGGTGGTGGTGTTTAAACTTTATTCTTTAAGGACTAAGCAGCATATGTGAATGGGGAAAAATTGCCTAAGATACCTTTACTACAGACCTGTATGTTTTGTAATGTATATGGGTGTGCTCTTGTGTTCTTAATTTGTTAACGCTTTTAACCACAAGAGGGCAGAGGAACAAAATACTTGCTAGAAATCTCCAGAGTGATGTTTAAATCCTTCTCATCACTTGAGGTCAAAACGACTACAGATGACTAAATTTCCTGATTTGCATATTAAAATCTTTGACTAAGAACTACATGATGACAATGAGACACCCTAAAGAGTCAAGAGAAGAGAGGGCTTTGAGAGCAGCTTCCAAGGCAGTGCTGCTCTGCCATTGAAAGTGACTGGGCTGGCGTGTTACCCATTTCCAGTGTGACAGGAAAAGGCAGCCGTGGCTACCTTGCCATCAGGAATTCTGATTATCCAGCGGCCTTTGTTCAGCTCAGCACAGGCCATATGGCATGGCCTGAGACCAGGCGTTGTGCTTGAACTGCTCTTGAATCGTATGCAGTTCAGAAGGCAGCAGGTTGGCCACAGCAGTTAAACCACCGCTAGTTCTAATAACAGAAGGTGACAAAATATCATCATATCAGGTGAGGTACTTAGAACTAGATAAAAGTTAGTTAATAAATATTTTAACTTGGCTCTTTTTGTGGGTCTCTACGTAATACAGGAATTAGGAAGGAGTCAACAGGTTATGGGTAAACCTGATTGTATTCTATCTAGATTTCTTCCTCGCCAGTAATATAACACCGTAATGCATGAAAGCTTTGTTCTTTATTTTTGGTTCTGGAGCACCTTTCTACTGGTGATATGCATTAGCCTAGCAATATTAGCTTAAGCGTCCTCTTTGTCAGCTACAAAGGGTCTCCTCTAGAGTTTTCTTTTTTGTATCCTCATCATAATACTCTCTAAATTGTATTCTGTATAGCTTTGTTTTTCTTCATCTGTGTTTCTTTTCCTTTTTAGGTGACTCTGAATGTCGGACCAGACCAAGATCTTGCAATTCTACACGAAGTCCGCCAAGGAAACAGACTAACACGTAAAATTCAAGGAGAACTAAAGAATTTAAAAGCAAAAATCTATGGCTTAGAGAATGAACTACGGATCTGCTGAAGCTGAGGTATTAGCTGGCATCCTAGTTTTAGGAATGGGACATTGCTAGCCTGGAATAGTCATATGTGAGAGCAGCTCCTCCCTGTCTGTTTCCTGGCATCCACTGACAGAAGGCTTGAGGAAATATGCAGTTAATGTCATAACATTGTACATGAGCCATTCCTAACGTGCCAGATTATATTGCTGTTTCATCTGAGAGATGGCATCTGATAAGACTGACATGGAAAGTACATGATGACTGATATATCAGGGATATGCTTATGACTTCATCTTACCTTCCTATCTGTGGTAGGGGTCAGTGTGTACTGACCTTCACCTTTATTTGGAGCATGTTATAAACCACATATATGATTTTAATGAAATTAATCATGGAAGGATGTAGTTCAGGATCTGAACTGCTTGACTGACCTCTTCGTATGTGAGAAGCCGCTTTTAAAATGGTTTAAATGATTACTGTTTTGGTGCTTAGGCACTTCAGGATGTAACTGGAAATTTTCTTTGAAAAAGACCGCATACAGAAAGTACGTACTAAAGTGTATTAGATCTCACTCTCCCCTTGACAGTATAACTGTTTTTATATGGCTTCCCTTTGCTTAGTTCTAACCTAATTGGGACAAACCGGCTGATTTAATATGGTGGAAAAAGATAAGCTGTTACAGAACTCATCTGCAAGAACCAGCAACATCTACACTTGTTTTGAATGATGGGGGGGGGGGAGGGAAATACAACACTATTGAGAATCACCTTCTTGTCCCCTTCCTCCCAGTTTATCTTGACACACAGAGGAAGCCCATAATAAAAGGCACCTATTATCTTCCTCAACCACCATATCTTTGTAGCTTTAAACAATGTGATGGTCAGTACCAACAAATCATGGTCAACTTCTGCTCCAGCCAGTTGTTGCTACTGAAATTGTGGTGGAAGAGCAGGCGCCTAGTTGCTACATGATAAATATAACTCTAGCTATATGATGACTGGTTTTGTACCAGACATCAGGACATCGCAATTCTAGAAAACAGATGAAATCATGAAAAGTGTTACAACATGGCTTCAGCCTAGTTTGTAATTGCAGGTATTCATGCTTTTACTGTAGCATCAGCAAATCTTGTCCACCTTGTAGACTGAGAGCAGATCTGCATTGGAAAAGGGATTTCAGTGCCTCTGTTTCCTACTGTACCTTTCCTACCTCGTTAAACGTGACAGAAGCAGAATAATATCTTTCTCAAGTATACACCTACAGGCTACCAGCACTTCTTTTCCTGTTGAAAAGAACTTAGTGTGTGAAAGCTGGCAGTTTCTTTTGGACATGGTAGTGGCCAGGGAGGTCCTCGTTCAGTGTTTGGGAGAGATAGATATGCAAAAGATGGGTTTTGTGCTGTCAAAATTTGGAGAAAGAATTGTTTTTATAGTGGGAGGGGAAATTCTCTTAAGTCAAGGCCCGCTTCAATTTTGTATCTCTTTTTGTGACGAGCTTGCTGTACCTTATGGTCCTGTGCTGTGGCTTTTATTTTGTATGTGTTCTTGAGGTCAAATTCATCACAAACAGACTTTAGTGTGGGTGGCTGACAATCTGTACCTGAATGCTCAACTACTACTGCAATTTACAAGAGGCTGTTTTAAAGTGTGTTGCACTAATTAGTTTAGCTGAAAATGCTGAACTGGTTCAGAAAGCGATTGATGTGGACAGTTGAGAAAGGTTATTAAATAATGCTATCCATCATTTAGTCTCACTCTTAGTTGACTAGTACTTTCTCAGATAAGTCTAGCTAATTAAAACAGGTTTGTATGTGAAATAACATGCTACTGGTTTGAAGATAAGGTAACAAAGTTATCACAGGTCCTGGAAGGCTGCTCCTGAAAATTGCTACGTAATGAAGTATTAGCCACTTATTCAGCAGGATCCATCTACTTAAATTCAGCTGATGGGAAACTAGTAAAAAGGTCTCTTGCACTTATAGAAACAAATGAATTTCTATTTATTTTCAACTCTTCCAAGCTAAAGAATTGTCTATGAAATTACACTTTCCTCACTTGAAAGCCATGAAGCGTGTCTGGATAAAGACTGGAGGCTTTGACATTCAGGTTTGTAAGACTGGGAGGAAATAATTGGGGGAAGAAGGATGTAAATGTTTAATTTCCTGCCTTCCTCACCAGTATTCCTTATTACTTGAAAGACTGAACAGAATAAAATGGCAACATTCCTAATATATCTGCTGGTGTGTCAAAATCAAAGTGCAGCTTGACCTTCATTCTTAGTTTGTCACTAGGCTACGAACCCTTCCTATTCAGGGATCGGGGTGGGGGGGAATTACGGTAGTGCTGATCTGTAAGTCCGTTTTATTTGGAAGCTTGAATATTTGTCCAAAGGCAGGAAGTGCAAAGTATTGTACATGCTCTTTCTGTGTGACATCGTGTGATCATGTGAAATGTTGCTTTATGTTGCCAAAACAAATGTGAACCTTCAAGCCAAGAATTGCTTTAAAAAGCCAAGTGCTTTCTACCACTGACAACTACCCTTTAAGATGTCAGTAAAGATTTATTGGCGTTTCCAAGAGGGTTTCCTGAAAAAGTTTCCAAGACCCATATTAGTCAATTTTCTTCCACAGATTTTGGGTAGAAAACAAAAAATGGCTTTCACTCCAAAGACTGATTAGCTTTTTTGCTATTTTAAGTTAGTAATGTGTGACTTGTATCATTTCAATACAACTAAATGCCAGGTTATATATGTAGGAGCACAGAATTTGAAAGCTCTCCAAAACGGCTGATTCTTGGAATAGGGAGACTATCCTATAGAGGATTGAAGGTTAGAACTGGACAAATGTTCTTATTGTGAGCCAAGATACTAAAATGTTGTGTAGCCCTTTTTTAGGTAAGGAAGGAGTGCATGCATGTTGGAAGGGATGTTGAAATATTGGGTAGGGCACAGAACCACAGATGATTCAGCAGAAGAGAAAAGGTTGTGCAAGACCTCATATTGTATTACATTAAGAAGACTGATTAATATACGTGTATCTTGAAGATGAAAAACTACCAAAGATGCCTCTATCCCAGCAGAGAAAGGCAGAGCAAGAACCAGTAGCCTGAATCTGAAGTTAAAAACGTGTGGGTTTGGCTTTCTTTATTAACAGAAAGATTGAGCTCTTTCCGTCATTACAGCAAACTATTTGTGGAGGTAACAAATTCTCCATCTCTGTCTTCAAATAAAAACAATGATTGCAACTCTGGAGAAGGTAGCTTGTTTTAATAAGTTACTGGGTTTGACACGTTAGAACTTAATGAAATATAATGACGTGAACTAACAGGAAATCATTTAATGGTCCCTTCTGGCTTTAAACTTATGATTTATTTATATGCAATATTTGTAGGAGTTTTTCAGTACTCATGCAGTTGCCTTAATTATAAGAATATATCCTGTGTCAGCTCACTCTAGACAGCAAGGTTACACAAGGTAAAAAAAACAAAACAAAATTAAAAAAAAAAACCCTCATGATGTTCCTATACCACAACTTGCAGTAATTCCCAAATTAATTAATGCTGTGACTGTGCTTAGAAAGTCAGATTAACAGCAGCTACAGATCTGATAGCTGGCAGAATACATCTAAATAGTACTATCATATATACTTGTATGCAGTGGCTGTACTTAAATCGCTTATGTGAGTAGTAGTACCACTACAGAAACACACATTTTACCAGTATGGATGGACTCTGTGTGCAGCCTAATATTCTGGAATTGTAATTTCTGTGTGTACGCCAGGAAGTAATTCTTTGATAATCAGATACTTTTTTTAAAACTGGCTGGGAGCAACATCCCTGTGTACTTTGTTCTGGTAGATCTGTTCATATTTGTGAAAAGCTATGTCGTTCAGGCTTTTAATTACAGCTCACAAACACATTTAATTCTGCTACACTGGAGTGTATTTGTGCCTGCTCAGTCAAAATGCTAACAAAGGTGTCTCATTTGTCCCCATTCAAAGTGGCATCACAACTCATTTGTATATAAGGAACATTTTAAGATCTTTTCAAATGCCAGATTCTGCACCTAGGACAGAGTAACACTGGGCACAAGTGTAGACTGGGAGAGCAGTGGCTGGAGAGCAGCCCTGCAGGAAGGGGTCCGGGGGTGCTGGTGGGCAGCAGTCTCAACAGGAGCCAGCAGGGTGCCATGGCAGCCACGAGGGCAAACTGCACGCTGGGCTGCATCAAACACAGCATCGCTGGCCGGGCAGAAGAGGGGATTATCCCCCTGTATTCAGTGTTGGTGCGGCCTCACCTTGAGCATTGTGTGCTGTTCTGGGCCCCACCATTTAAGAAGGCTGTGAATGTCCTTGAATGTGTCCAGAGGAGGGCAAGAAAGCTGGTGAAAGGCCTGGAAGGCATGTCCTGGGAGGAGCGGCTGAGGACACAGGGTTTGCCTAGTTTGGAGAAGGGGAGGCTGAGGGGTGACCTCTTTGCTCTCTACAGCTTCCTGAGGAGGGGACATGTAGAGGGAGGCACTGATCACTACTTTGCTGTAGGAAGTTCCATCAAAACATGAGGAGGGACTTCTTTACTTGGAGGGTGGCAGAGCACTGGCACAGGCTGCCCAGAGAGGTGGTGGAGTCTCCCACTCTGGAGACATTCAAAACCCGCCTGGACGCCATCCTGTGCAACCTGCTGTAGGTGACCCTGCTCGGGCAGGGGGGTTGGACTAGATGATCTCCAGAGGTCCCTTCCAACCCTGACCATTCTGTGGTTCTCCCTGGGATCCAGTGATAGGACATGTGGGAATGGTTCAAAGCTGTACCAGGGGAGGTTCAGACTAGACGTGAGGAAGCATTTCTTTACCGAGAGGATGGTCAAACCCTGGAACAGGCTTCCTAGAAAGGTAGTCGATGCCCCGAGCCTGTCAGTGTTTAAGACGCGTTTGGACAGTGCTCTTAACAACATGCTTTAACTTGGTCAGCCCTGATGTGGTCAGACACTTGGAACTAGATGATCATTGTAGGTTCCTTCCAACTGAAATATTCTATTCTTTCTATTTTTTCTGCAATA